TGATGCTGGAGGTTATTGGAAGTAGCTGTGGGGCAAGTGGGGCAGATGGGTTCACCCGCGCCCTCCCCTGTCCCCCTGGCCAGATGTGAAGAAGATGCCACTGGGGAAGCTGAGCAAGCAGCAGATTGCGAGGGGCTTTGAGGTGCTGGAGGAGCTGGAGGCAGCGCTGCAGGAGCAGCCTCCCCAGGCCGCCCGCCTGGAGGACCTCTCCTCCCGCTTCTACACCATCATCCCACATAACTTTGGGCGGGCACGGCCACCCCCCATCAACTCCCCTGACCTGCTGCGTGCCAAGAAAGACATGCTGTTGGTGAGATGCCAGGGCACCCGGTGGGTGGCATCCTTCCCCAGGGAGGGCTCCTGCCTGTGGGGCAAGGAGGTGCTGGCAGGAGGCTGGGCTTGCCCTGGTCACCCAGCACGGTGCCCAGCACCGGTGGTGAGGATGTCCCCGGTCTGTGCCTGCCAGGTGCTGGCCGACATCGAGGTGGCACAGAGCCTGCAGGCGCAGAAGGTGAAAGAGGAGGAGGAGGAGGAGGAAGTCACCCATCCGCTGGATCAGGATTACGCCCTGCTCTGCTGCCAGCTCTCCCTGCTGGACCCGGCTTCCCGGGAATACCAGGTGCTGCTTGTGCCACGGTGCCCCATGACGGGGAGCAACCATGCCAGGCCTACGGGCACCCCAAAGGTCCCCACTGTCCCAGGGGGACCGTGGGCATTGTTGGGATGGCTGCCTGCGGTGACACCGCTTTCCTGCCTCCCTCCCTGGCAGCTGATCCAAAACTACGTGACACAGACTGGGCACAAACTCCACATCCTCAACATCTGGCAGGTGGCCCGAGATGGCGAGGTGAGAAGAAGGAGATGATTATCCCCATCCCGCAGTGGGGAAGCCCCGGTTGCACCCTAGGACTGCATTAGGGCTCTGGGCTTGTCCACCCAGGGGGGGCTTCAGCCCAGCTGGCCAGGGACAAACAGGCACCCGCTCCCCTGCCCCTCCAGCCTGGCACTGGGGTTGGGTGGCAGTCCCCCTGCCCTGGGCTTCCACATCTCCCTCCGTGGACAGCCTTTAGCTCTGCATCTCTCCAGGACGAGCGCTTCAAAGCCCACGACCTCCTGGAGCACCGGCGCCTGCTTTGGCACGGCACCAACGTGGCGGTGATTGCGGCCATCCTGAAGAGCGGGCTGCGCATCATGCCCCACTCAGGCGGGCACGTGGGCAAGGGCATCTACTTCGCCTCCGAGAACAGCAAGTCAGCCGGCTATGGTGAGGGTCCTGGGCCCACAGAGTCTGTGGGAGCCCAGCTGCCTTTGCATACCCCCTGCCAGGCACCTGCTGGGAATGCCAAGACCCTTCCCTGCCATGGCAGCCAGTCCCTGCGTGCCGGGGTGGCCTGGGCACAACCAGATGTGAACACCAGGGTTGGTGCCATCATCCCTATCCCCTTCTCCCACGGCAGTGGGCTGCACGTCCAAGAAGGTTGGCATCATGTTCCTGACGGAGGTGGCCCTGGGCAAGCCCTACCGCATCACCTGCGATGACCCCATGCTGCGTCAGCCACCTGCCGGCTACGACAGCGTCCTGGCCTGTGGCCAGACGGAGCCGGGTGAGCCTGGGGCAGGAGGGGATATAGGGTCTGTGGGCCTGGGGTGGGCACGGGGCAGTGGGGGAGAGAGGCCAGATCTCGGGCTTGACATGATGGTGTGGGGTGTCTTCTCGCCCAGACCCTGCGCAGGATGAGGAGGTGCTGCTGGATGGCAAGAAGGTGCTGGTGTGCCAGGGCAAGCCCATCCCCATGCCCGCCTACAAGGACTCCTCCTTCAGCCAGAGCGAGTACCTCATCTACCAGGAAAGCCAGTGCCGGATCCGCTACCTTGTCCAGCTCCACTTCTGAGGGTGCCCGGGCACCCCGCAGCCCCATCCCAGCACCAGCTGGTGATGCCCACCAGCCCGGAGCATAGTGGTCTGGACTCTCTGGCCACCCCACCTGGGGCTTGGCAAGGGACAGGCCAGTGTGGGGACAGGCCAGTGTGGGGACAGAGCCTGCTTTGACCGTGAATAAAAACACCATGCCTTGTACCGAGCGGTGCCGGTGCTTTCCTGCTTGGCGAGGCGGGTGTGGAGCAGGGAAGGGTGGTGGTGTGTCCCTGCAGGGACGGTGGCGGGTGGCTCTGGAGGGGCTGCAGCCTGTTGCGGCCATCCGGTGCCGGCAGCCTTCAGGTGAAAGCTGGTGGCTTTGCAAGCCAGGTGCCCTTGTCACCTTGGCAAGGCATGTGGCTCGTGCCTGTCACCGTGGCGTCAGAGCTACAGAGGATGAGCAAGACGTGCCGCCCTGCCTGAGCGTGAAGGAGCTCATCCATCCGTCTGGAGGGCGAGCACCTGCCCTCTCTCTGGTGCCATGCTTGGTGCTGTGCCTGCTGCCCTGCCCCAGCCTGGTGCCCATGCCAAGCTCCTCTCCGCGCTCACATGTGCCCCTCAAGCGCGTGTTTGGGTCCCTGGGGTGCTGGGGAAGGGCAACTCCCGACTGCGTTACCCTGATGCCCCGTGGATGCTCCAGAGCATCTGTGCGCTGGTGGGGAGGAGACGCCGCAGACCTGCCTGTTGGTCTGGCCCCCGAGCCCCGGGGACCTCGGCGCTGAGCTGTCCTTGCAGAAGGACCAAGGCCTGGTGCAGT